ATTTGTTTCAATCGTTTCATTCATTTCTCCCAAAAATTGTAAATATTTTTGGCATTTATTTGAAAGTAATTTATATTTCAATAAATCTGTTGACAAACGACTGATTTCTCGCTTCAATTCACTGATCATTGAATACAATTGTCTTCGACTTAATGGTCGAAAATCACCACAAATTTGATCCATTTTTACAGACAATCAGTTGAAAGCAAAACAATAATAAACGCAAACATCACATGATTTCCACGTTTGCGACAAACATTCACACAAAACGTCAAATAAGGTTAAAATAAAAGTGGAAAAACTTTTATGTTTAAAAGTTGTGATTATAATCTATTAATTATATTTGTATTAATAATTAAATATCTACAATAGAAATATTTTAATAATTTTCTTATCAAGTATTTGTATTAATTAGAGACCAGGTGGTCGTCGTGGTAGCCGAGTATACATGTCTATAAAAAGTCATTTATCTGTTCAAACAAATATACTGAATAAACATTTCGTGTTAAATAAAATATATTGGTTTAATATTTTGAAGTTGAGAGTGAGTGAGAGAGAGAGAGAGAGAGAGAGAGAGAGAGATTTTTAATTAAATAAATTATTTACGGGTTATAAAAAAATATTTTAATTCAATTGTTGAGAGTAAGTCTAATACAGTCTAATAAAGTAGTATCAGATTAGACACAAAAATGGCGAGGAGGGTATTGACCACAAACATCTTTTCCGGCAAACAATACAACCCACGGGTCGACCCAAATGCCATAGAGTTGACACAATTCACACCCAGACCTAAGTCTAACTCAGTTTCAGTGTCCACTCAAACGGATCCCTCAGAAGTCGCCGACAATACCGGCGATGAGGCTCTCGAAGACATTCAATTCCTGTGGACACTCGATGGCCGTCGAATCAGACGACCCGCCGGTGACTTCCGGCCCGACGCCCGGATCACAACCGGGTCCTACTGTCCAGACGTGCCGGGAGGTACTGCCGGCACATTTCAGCGTACAGATCCCGACACCGGGGAACTGGTGCTCGATATGGAGAACATGTGCATCATATGCAACGAGAGGCCGTCCATCAAGTATCAGGTGTGCGACTGTACGGCAGTCGTGGCTAACAGATGTATGAATTGTTTGCGGCAATCAATTCTCGCTAATTATAGGAATCCGTTCCAGAATTACAGGCAATGCTACACATGCCGACAGCCCTTCTTTGGGGTCCAGTATGTGTATGGGGCGAGGGGTCAGTCATGGCTCCGACAGCTCCTATCTGACCCGATACAGGTCTTGCTCACTACAATCATTTCATTAGTGCCACTCGCAATGCTCGGGGGCATAATGTACTGCACGTGGAGGGCATGGAGGCAGCTCGCGAGACCATCAACTATGGGTCCATTTTATTAGGTATGATTTATATGGTCATTGTGGGGGTACTCGTCCACAATTATGTCTATTTTAGGCGCCATAGGCAACAAACTTTGGTCGACGTCGAGATCGATATGACTACCGCTAAACCTCTGGGTCAGTACACTTCAGTAGCCGGTCCATCGCGGCGTCAGTAGAAATACATGCGTTTCATTGGATCCAAGAGTTAAAAGTCAATAAAAACAAGTTTAGAAGAAATAGGAGTTCATGTGTTATATGGAGTATAGAATTGCATTTGAAATTAAGAATATAATTAGAAAATTCAAATATTTGATTATGTCAGCAAGCTATTATAGTCATACAAAGAGTCTGAAATATAAAAGTTGATATACCTTTGCATATAGAGGTAATCTAAATTCAATTCATTTATTATGAGTGGTCATATGTTTGTCCATTTCTAAACATTTTTTGCTTGTAAAGTGGCATTCAGGGTAAGAGCACTGGTAGTCATCCAAACCCTTATGTTGTTTATTGATGTGGTTATTAAGTCTCACACCATTAGTGGTCTTATAATCACATTCAGGCCAATGGCATTGGTGGCCAGCTATACCCATGTGTTGTCTCATTTTGTGAGTTGCAAGAGTAGTTTGGTTTAAATACGATTTATCACATCCAGGCCATTGGCACCGGTAGACAGTGTTTCCCGTATGTGTATTCATATGCATTTTCAATACCGTATTACTGTTGAACAGTCGCTCACATCCATACCATTCACATCTTATTTTCAGATCATTGTTATGAGTCCTCAGATGTCTCTTTAGATCTTCTGAACGTCCGAACCGTTTCTGACATTCACTGCAAACGTATGGTTTTGTATGAGTTTTCATGTGAACCGTGAAAACAGGTTTGCATTTAGTCTTATACTGACAGCCATTATGTGTGCATTGAATCCATGGTATGTCTGGGAAGTCATTGGGATGTACTCTAAGCTGATGGTGAGTCAAACTAGTTTCTCGTTTACAAGTTTTGCCACAATTATTTAATAAACACTTAAATTGGTGTTTATTTGAATGACTTATTTGATGTGATATTAGGTGTGATTTGTCGCCAGTCTTATAAAGACATCCCTCGTAATCGCACCGGTATTTCGAAGAGTGTTTACTGGTTTTGTGTTTTGCCAAATAGTATGGATCAGCAAATGTTGCCAAACAGTCTCCGACATCACATCTAAACCTATCGCCCAAATGCTTGTATTTGTGACGAAATAGTTGTCTCTCTATCCTATACTTCTTCTCACATCCGATCCAATCGCAGACAAACAGACCGTCGGATGTCTTCTCATAATTATGTTTCTTGTGGTCAACACTGCCATCAATACTGTTATCCTCTTTATCGCTACCATCACTTGAACTATAAGTATATCTCTTTGTTTTAATGCTATGTTTTTCCCTCTTATGAGTCTTTAGAGATAAAGAACTGGTATATGAATTGTGACAGTCATTGACATCGCACTCATAGCTGATCCCCGAATGTGTCTCTTTGTGTGACTCGAACTGCTGTTTATTTGTAAAACTTTTATCACATCCATTGTAATCGCAAATATAATTGCCATCAGTTTTTGTTCTCTTTTTATGACTCCTTTTCTGTGAATCGAAGTCTGAATTATCACTCATTTCCTCATCACTTGAACCACAACTGTATTCTTCAGTTTCGCTGTCATTGTCTTCATATCCATAAGAATTTACTTTTCTTTTACTCGTATTTGTTTGGAAATTATTGTCTGATTTTGGGGTTAAATCATTTTCTCTTTGACTTTCATTTGTTTCACTTTTCTCTCCATTCGTTTCATTTGTATTCACGTCTTGGTTGTGATCAACACATCCATCGATGGTCTCATCACTTGATTCCCAATTCATATGGCATTCAATACCTTCGGATTCATTGTCTGATTGCATGTCTTCAGCACTCAATCCCTTGTCTTGTGTTTCATGTCTTGAATTGTCTTTTGTTTCATTCAATTCATCACTTCTTTGACAACCAATTGATTTCATAACTGTTTTTAAAATAAATAATTAAAAATCAATTCAATATTTAACTTCAAAATACCTTTCAATTGATGAAAATTATGACAAATTTGTGATTCATTTAAACAAATGAAACAATTTTTAATGTCTTTTAAAGCATTGATTTGTGAAATGAAATGCTTTTCAGTATTTGTTTCAATCGTTTCATTCATTTCTCCCAAAAACTTGAGATAATTTAGACAATCATTTGAAAGTAATTTATATTTCAATAAATCTGTTGACAAACGACTGATTTCTCGCTTCATTTTACTGATCATTGAATACAATTGTCTTCGACTTAATGGTCGAAAATGACCACAAATTTGATCCATTTTTACAGACAATCGCTTGAAAGCAAAACAATAATAAACGCAAACATCACGTGATTTCCACGTTTACACCAATCATTCACACAAAACGTTGACAATTTAATTTAAATATCGAAACCACTTTTACTAAAAGTCTTTTAAAAGTTTTTTAAAAGTCTTTTAGTCCTCTTTTTTATTGAATATATTTATTTTGTGCTCTCATTTCACAATCAAAACCTGAATTTATAAATAAAGATGTGATCAAAACAATGAAACTATAGTTTTCAATGTAAGTCTATTTGAATATTTTGCTCAACAGCTCAAAGTCCACACCACTGTTCGTGGGCTTGTTTTGGCGGATCAGCTCATCGGTGACCCTTTGCTTGTAATGGCGCCGATCGCTGCCCTCATCGGGGGTCTTGTGTTTGGATTGATATTTGAATTTATGTGTCATTTGTTCGTAAAACGAGTTCTCCTTCTTAGCCCTCGAGATCTCAAACCTCAGCTTCTGTTGAGTGAACGCCTTCTCGTACGACAACTGTTCCGCCAAATGACTCCATTTGAACCTATCGGTGGTGAATGAGATGATAGTCAATACACCGCGGGATCAGCGTTGCCATCAGTGGTGTCACAATACTTATGCAAATATTTCAAACTCCAGATCTGGTCGTAGAATTTGGTCCTCCGTTTGCCGCCAATCTGTTGACCATTGAGGACACCGGCCGCCAGTTTGGCCACCGATTTCTTGCGGAACTCCACCCACCCCTCGACGTACCGGCAATTGTAGGACTTCTTGAGCGACGCCCTCCTCGGCCTCTTCGCCGCCGACTCGTTGCCGGACCTCTCCTTCTGGAGGAATATTCGGTTCACTTCTCCGTACTCTGCCATCAGTTGTCGCAATCGCGTGGCGTTCAGACCCATCGGTACGTAACTTAAGTAAACGATTCCTCTCTTATTCTTCGTGTTGTCACCGATTTTGACCACTTTTTTACCAGATTTTGGTTTCTTAGAGCTGTTTGTCTCGCGTATCTCCTCTTCAGCGACCGATTGGTCGTCACTCTGGTCGGCCGTCACCTCATGTTCAGCGATTGGATCGCCACACGAGTCGTTGGCGTTATTATCACTCATCTGATCCATGGTTGGACACGAAGACATTTTGATTTGATTTAAATCACGTTTTGTTTACACATCGCTTATTGTGCTGTCATTACAGGTATGGCATACACTGTATGTATAATATAGAGGGGTGGGGGAGGCATAATTATACATTAAATTTGACAGAGGATTTCATAAATATGGTCTAGAACTTTTTGTCAAAAAACAAACCTTGAACATTGGTTTCGACAAAAAGTTCTAGATGGTATTTATGAAATGCTGTATAAATGTATAATTATAAATTAGTGTTCAAAACTTTAATTTCATATTCAATTGCGGTATAAATTATAGACTATTGCACTGTATTTCCAAATTGATATCAATTTTTATTTTCTAAATTATATAAAAATTAAATAAACATTTAATAGACACTCAAAACTGAAGTGTCATCTTATGTGCCTTCAAATGGGTGACCAATGCATTGAATTTATGCGTTTCGAAGTCACAGCCCTCCTTATGGCACCGGTAGTCGTCGGAACCGTAGTGTTTGTTCATATGGGCGTTGAATATGACATTAGACGTGGCCGTATAGCCACAGGCCGGCCAATGGCACCGGTAGTCAGCCTTACCCTTATGCA